CATCCATTAGTTCATCCATCCATCATCCATCCATCCATTAGTTCTTCCATCCATCATCCATTCATCCATTAGTTCTTCCATCCATCATCCATCCATTAGTTCATCCATCCATTCATTAGTTCATCCATCCATCCATTAGTTAGTTGACAGCTGCCTATTAAAAATCATGCCCACTTCCTCCAAGCAGCAAGCTTTCATGTGAGGCAGTTTCCAGTCATTTTTGCTCAAAGTTGATACCAAGTTAAAACCCTAATTTGCACAGTGATAGCAACTGTTTTTTTTCCCAGCTATACATAATGCTGAAAATTAAAACAGCAAGGTTTTAGAGACTTTGTTCAGCCCTTCTAAAGCAGCAGCAGCCCCTTTAGGGCGACGCCATGAAACGGGCGGCACCCACACAGGCAGAGGTAGAGTGGCAGCGAGGGCAAGCCTCTTTGTTCCTGGTTGGAGAAATAGAACCAGAAAACAACTGATATTTCACAACAAACAAATTCTCCTCAATGCCAAAGGCAATATTTCATCACTTTAGTGCCAATGGTTGACTTTTTAGGGTTTAAAAAAACATGATATAGAACCTTTAATGAGCTGCTTCCCTTTGGGCTCAACCAGAAGTTTCTACTCACCCAATAAATGTTTAGGCTCACATAAAACAAGTAGCTTTAAAAAAAAAAATCTCATTTTGATTCACTAGAAAAGGATCTAAAATTAAATTTGGCATTTTGTCAAATGTATTGGTCTTTGGCCAGATGGGGATGACTAACAGTCACACCTTTTTCATTTCTTTTTAATTGTTCACATAGGATTTTATGCTTGGTTAATGGCCTCAGATTAAACATATAAATAGGTATTTTCTAACAAAGCAGTGGTTCTTACTCTTCAGCACATATCTTCTGTGTCCATCTCAAGGCTTCTAAATATAAACCACTTGTGGTTTATCCGTGGGAAATTCAAAAGTCTAAATATATTTACTGTGTTGCTGATTAACCTCTCAACTTTGACCAAATGGCTGGACTGTGTGTTTCTATGTGTACCAAGCCTCTGTCTCTCTATTGTTTCCTGTTTTTGCAAGTGCTTTTCCTTCTTTGTTTCTGCGTACAGTGAGTTCTGTCGTCTCGAGCTTTCTCTCACCTGACAATCCACCCAAGGTCAGCTTTTCAGCCAGCTTGCAGGGGAATGATGCAGAAGATTATTGCCTCGATCAATAAGCTCAAAATGAAGCAAAGGGGAGTTTACTTTATTGACTTTCTCGTGTACAGTGGCAGTTTTAACATTTAATTGTCTCTCTGTATTTAGAGCATTCTCCCATTTAGCGCCTGACAACTGTGCCACTCCAGGCTTTCCTCTCCGCGCTCGACGCCCACTCGGGCACCATTTGAGACGGCCCCTCTTTAGCTTAATTATTAACAGTGTTATGCTGCCCTGTTGTACTGTAAGACGTTTCAGAAAGCAAATAAATAAATGAACGGCTGTGTTTTCATAGTGCTCCGTCTTCTCTCTCTGAAGTGTGATTCTGAGCCTGTGGAGAATTCAGAGAAACTCGGGGTGTGTTTAATATCAAAGCTGTGTTCCCTCAGCTTTCAATCAACGGGGCAACAAACCCCGAGGTCCGCACTCCTACAGGGGAGTGTAAGGCAAAACCGAAGAGAATCTGAGTTTGTCAAACTCAATATTCCTCCATAATGTACTAGGCCTCTCTGGCGCATGCTTGATCAATTTCATTTATTCATCCGCCGGGCAGCGCTATCCCTCTTGTTTTTCTACATCCATTTCATCATCCTCTTCTCCTCCTTCTTTTTTCTCTTTTTCTCCTCCCTTCTTAGACCCTGGCCAGTGAAATACTTTTAGACGTTCAAGAGGTCAAACAGCAGTTGATGAGCAGGAGGAGGCAGAGGCAGGCCGCTTCTGTGGCAGCGAGGAGCGGCCCCTCAGCCATATCCATGATCAAAGCCAAGTCCATCGCTGCCTCCATCCTCAATATGTCAGAAAACGATCTGGCAGATATAATGGAAACGGATCAGGTAAGGCCAAAGGACAGCAGTTTTCTTCTGAGCTAACACTGACTTCAGTAGGATCTATATGTTTAGAAAGCCTCCAGAGCTTTAAACACACGGAGGGATTTTGTTCTTTAAAATTTTGAAGCATCCTGAAAGTTTGTGATTGGCATTATTGCACAAAGTATTGTAGCATCAAAATCAGCTCACAGGTTTTGGTGCTTTGTGTGTGACGATGGAAAATAAATGACTGCCCTGACCTTAGTATGTTTCCCCCGAAGGGAAACATCCATGTAGACCAAGGAAGACCTCAGTTTCCATGCAGAAGTGCTTAAAACATACCAGCTTAACAAAAACTAGTATTTGTTAGCATTTCATCTGTGTTAAAAAAAAATGAAGGATATTTTCTTTTTTCTGTAGGATATTTTTTGTTGTTTTATTTTATTGAGGACATTTTTTTCCGTTAATACATTACAATCAAAAAACTTCTTGATCTAAAACGTTTTTTGGAGTAACTTTGATGTTGTTTAGATTTTATTTTTAAAATCTTCATGTTTACATTTTTCCAGCTTTATTTTATTTTTTATTTTTCAAATCACTTTTCAGATTTTTAAAATCCTTTTCATATTGAGTTGTATAAATTGCATTCTTTTCCATCTGCTTTTTCAGGATCATGTTCTCTTTACTTCTGGGGGCAGGCTTTGGCCTGCCTAGATGTTAGAAACATTTCTATTGGCTAAGCATTTTTATTTAGCATTTGTTTTTCAGCTTGAAGTGAAGAGAATGTGATCTGGGAAACACGATTTGAAAAGCTAAAAAAACAAAAAAACAAATAATGAATAACAATCAGAAATGTAACATCTGTATTAAAACATCCATCCATCCATTTTCCGTCACGTTTATCCCAAGCGTGCTCGCGAGACCTTCTTTGTATTAAAACAGTTCTTGAAAAAATTAAGTTAAAAAATAAAATATTAAATAAAAAATCTAGGAAACAGCAAAGTAAAACTCAAAGCCTTTTTTTTGATTCAGCATATTTTTTGAATAAAGTTTATATGTTTTTTTTTTACTTTCCTTTTATCTAACATTTTTCTATTTTTATGTTTAATGACAAAATCTGTTCTCTGAAACAAAAATGGACCAAAATTCTCTCCATATTAAAGTAGCCTATTCTTACTGCTGTAGGACAATAAACAATCTTTGGGGGGAGCAGCCCCTGTCACAGAAACTTTATACTCTGAATTGAAGTTCTTCTTCTTGACTGCTGCATGCTTGCAGAAGTGTTTCCAACTACTTTCCAACTCTGAGAGTCCTCTCTCCCCCATAGATCATCCGCAGCAAATTCATCAATTAACAACTGTGTAACAATCAGCCTGGGATCTCTGGGGACTTCCTCCCATCTATCAGAAGATTAGAAAGAGCCTACCAGGCACTTACTCACACTTGAAACCAATTTGAAGCCATTGCCAAACAGCTCCACCCCTGTATGACAGAGAGCAGATTCTCACTTGAGAATAGGTCTCTGTTATCACCTTGGAAGAGACTCAAATACGGCAACAAATCATCTCACCAGTTACATCATGTTCATCATTAGGCTTTCACATGAAATCACCTTAGCAACGTCAGTTATAGTGATATTCAAATGGGAGATGCTTGTTTATTTATTTCCTTGGTTTACCAAGAGGAGTTTATCGAATCAGGGTTCTGCTCTCAGCTACTGAACAAAAGCTTCTCTGCTCCCATCATCCCATTCATATTGCCATTGGACATGAGAGATTTCTTCCTCAGACTCTGAAACTTTCTTTCTTTGATCCTGGCATCTGGAATATCACTCATTTTTATCTTAAGAAAGCAGCAATTTCTCACGGAGAGCATGCTTGCAGCGACAGTAGAAAGGAAAAACAGGAAGAAGCATAGAAGCTCTGAGGAGGGATATGAACTTATAATGGACTTTTAGTTAACGATTAATGGTTTATGAATATAAAATTTGGTCCACCCAATTTTGTAATATTACCTCAATCCACTAGAGGGCATCACTGTTCATTCTGAAGAGGAGCCTCACTGGTATTTGCAAAAGAAATAATGCCAGGGTGGAGGCATACTAGAGCAGAAGGATGAATCAATCCAGAGTCCAATCCAGATTATTTACACTATTTAATCTCTAAATAGCACTGTGTAACCATGCTGCATTACATAGTGGCAGAGAGGTTACTCTGCTACGCTAAGCTGAGGATATAATGATGGAAAAGTGCAGGGCATTATGCAAATGATAGAACATGATAGAAAAAAACATGATGAACACAAACACAGTGACAAGGGAAGGTGTTGTGTGTTGGTGCAGCTCATAGATCAAAGTTTTAACTTAAGAGTAACCAGAACAACTGGTTGAAATCAATGCTACAACCACAAAGTTGGATTACACTAAAAACAGAGAGCTACATCACAGTTAGCATCAACTTCATTGAAACAAAGTGTCAAATAGTCTGACAGTATGTCAGTGGACATTAGTAAGTTTTTACCATTGTCTGTTTTTTATCCAATAAGCTAATAGGTTCCTTCCATCCATCCTTCTCCCTTTTATTCCGTCATGGTTGCGGTGGGGCCTGTCCCTATCTACGGCAGTCTATTGGTGAGAGGCAGGGTACATCCTGGACAGGTCGCCAGTCCATCACAGGGGAACATGGAGACACATAACCATGCACACTCACATAAAGTAAATTTAGAGATGCTGTTTAACTTAAAATTCAACTTTTTGGACTGTGGGAGGAAGCTGCAGTCCCCAGAGAGGACGCACTCATGTACTGGGAGAACATGGAAACTCCATGCAGAAAGACCCTGGGCCGGCAATCGAACCCAGAATCTTCTTCCTGCAAAGCAGCAGTGCTAAAAACTGCACCACAGTGCAGCATATACTAGGTTCCTCTTTTGTTAAATCTTCTAAATATGTCTAGTTTAATCATGTTTAAGACAACTGTTTTTATTTATTCAGACATTTCATGCAGCTGCCACAATAAATTATTTAACATATAGTTAAAAAAAAAGCCCTTCATGTTACACAAAGATCTTTTTGATACAAGATAAAACAAATTTTTAGGTAAATGGTCCCTTATCAGGTGATAGTAAGTCGATCGATCAGATCAATCAACTTTAGATTAATAAATTAATCAATAACTAGCATCCCTTGCACTGATCCATAAATGCTTTTTTTGTCAGAGAAGGTAACAGTAAACTCCAGATGTCATAATTAAAGCTGATTCCATAGATATGTCTCGGACAGAAACAGGCCTAAACACTACAAAACAGGGCAAACTCTATTAATTGTCACTAAAGTTGCTAACAGCCCAATCTTTTTTGAGTTTTGTTGCAGTTGTGTCTGTGTTTTTTGCTCAGTGTAGAGTTGGTCGTAATACATCAGATTGTTGGCTCAGGTTCTCTTCTAAACACTACAGCTTTCTGCCCGCAACTCACCATGCTGATATTTTCAGCACAAAAGTATATGGATGTATAAACAAAACTCTGATTATAATGGGATGTAGCTGCATGCATGCAGAGAATGTGTGTTTGTGTGTTGAAAAATACCCTCTGCTCTCATATTTCCCCTCTTACATCATGCTGCACTCCGTTCCATGGTGTGCAAGGCAGCGCAGGCCTGAGCAGCTCCAGACTCCCTGGGTAACTTGTTGTGGAGCTAATGATCCAGATGTAATAAGGCTCTAATTGCCAGGCCAGTTCGTTTTACACCCTAATGTTAGATGAAGGGTCAGTTATTTCTTATATATCTACCAAGGGTGGATGAGCAGTGTTACTCAGTTCTTTTAAACGTTTTCAAAGATGCAGCCACAATCTGTTTTCTCTCTGTTTTTTTTTTCTTCACAATTTACTCTTTGGCTAACCCATTGGTCTATTTTTTAAATAATAGAAATTCACAATTTTTCTATTAACAGTGTTAAAACGCACCTAAAACGTATAATAGTCCAAGTTAATCATCACAAAACTGTTATAGTGGATTAAGGGTTATTCTAAGTTTTTTTTTTGTTTTGTTTTTTTATAATCTGAGAGATTATAAAATACAGATAAAATAAAGATTAGATTATCCAAAAGGCAAGAAGAAAACAACCCTGGTCCAAAGACACTATTTAGCACCGGATGTTTCACGCTATAAACACGCAGGTAAAAACCTCTCACTGCCAGATTCAAAAGTCAAACCCCTCAGAGCTCCTGCATCCAAACCCTGACAAGTCAGCCGGATCACCCCAAATTATGCAGAGGTTTGTTAGAGCAAAAATAGTAGCCATGGATGGTATAATAAACTAGGAGGAAACAGGTGAAGCTCAGTCATGAACCAAGGCAAACAGCCCAATAGGCATTTCTGAAAGAAAGTAATCCATATTACCATCAAATTTTTATGGGCTCTTCCTTTCCCATCTCCCAACCTGCTACCAGGTCTCAGAACTGCTGGCTCTGGCATAATCCTGCAGAAAGACACAGAAACATTCCTCCACCAAGGTGATACTGACAGTAATAAGGCAATGCAGAATATCTGACAACTGTCAACTTTGCAGCTGAAGCTAGTTGCCAATCGGTCAGTTTATTTAACGCTTTCCCCCATTTATGTTTCTTTAATAGAATTCATGTCGCTGTAAAACTTAAGGACGTTTTAAACCTGAAATGCAGTAAAGTATTTATCCCAGTGACAAAGGAGGTTTAAGGTTAACAGTCACTACATAGGTGCCTATTTGGACATACGTGCCGTGTGTCTCTGCACCGTTCATTAGCAGTAACAAGGGGAACTCTGTTTAGGGGTACGAAGGTATGCATACCGCCGGAGAGTCCTCAGAGCTGCTTCAAGGTCCTCTGAGGTGTGAAGCTACATTTCTGCCCTCGAGCATATGACCCCCAAAGGTTGATGTAAGATACAGTGGTAATTTGCCTCACTGAAGATCACACCTTCATACCTTCTTTCACAGCAAGGCCTTCAGTATAACGACCGCTGCCTGAAGATAAATCTGAAGCATAATGATTTTGCCATTATATGCATTTTTTCCAGTCTCCTGCCATAACGTATGTTTGCTATCGTACCTTGCAGAGGACGGCCACCTGCACAGAGACGGTCAGGGACCAGGAGTGGCTGGAGCAGCTGAACTTCCTCCTCCAGCAGAAGGTCAGGCGCCCACACATAAAGGATTCAGTTAACTAGTTTGTTTCACAATTAAACATATTTTTATATTGTGTGATAGTAAAATAAATAGTGATCATACAACAAAATTTAAATCAGATACTGACTAAAACTTTTAAAAGCATCGTGAGCATGTTTTTTCTCTGACTTTAAACCAGACTGAATATTTTTTGTTTTGAGTCAGATGGGATTCAGAAAAAAAAACAAAAACTTTCTTACTTTTTTTTTTTTCATTAGTTCAAAAGTCTATCTGATAAGCTTATTTTATCACTTGGTAGAACCCTGCATGGCCAAGTTCACCGCTACACACTAAGGTGACCACATGTCTCCATGTGTCTCGTACTGTAGGTCCTGCATTTAACTGGGTTAAAATATGAAAGTATAAAAAATATTCAGCATCCCTTTTCCTAAAGTCAGCTAAAATACAAATACAGTTTATAACCGGTGAGGACAGTGACAGGGATTCTCAGTGAGCTTTCTGTGAAGTTTGACAAAGTTATATTTTATTTCAATACAAAAGGAAACATATATATATATAAAGCAACACTAACAGTGAGTTGCATGAAAAATGAACAGCTGTAAAGATGTGTGCGTCCCAAACGATCCCTCATTAACCTCCTTGTTTTTCCACTTTATTTATCTGGGAGATCTGGACACCTTAATGCACCCTCATTCTGTAAGGCACTGCAGTCAGAGCTCTGTGATGGCCACTCCATGGTCTCCTTCTGCCACTTCTGGCTATATTTACAGAATATTTCCATTTTAAAGACCCTTTTTTCCACATAATGTCCTTTTATATGATAACTTTGATTTCAGGTACCAGTTCCTGTCATGATGTGGGGAAAACATTCCCCACATCATGACTCAGGCTTTTTCTCCAATTGTAGAAACCATCACTATGACCAAGCAGTGATATGTTTCAACAAGCTCAGCTTAACTCAACTCAAACTTTATTAAGAAAGCACATTTAAAACAACCAGGGTTGACCAAAGTGCTGCACAGATATCATAGTTGTAGGAAATAAGGTAAAAACTTAAAAGCTAAAATACATAAACACAATGCAATAAAATAGAATAAAATAAGTTAAAATGTTTATATATATATATATATATATATATATATATATATATATATATATATATATAGGATATTTGACCTATATTTGATATATATATATTTCAAATATTAGGACCTTTGTCTTTGAGTGCATTAGAAAACTGTAATCTGCTCTTGGAGTTATGGCTTCTTCCTCTCTGAGTGGCCTTTCATTTCTTACCATAAATGTCTTAAAGTTGGAAACAGTGCATGTTTGTTTGTTTTTTACATCCAAAATCATCATTTGCAATAAGAGGTTTCTATTAAAGAGAATCCTCTTTTGCAAATGTTTCATTTTTAATCTTTGAACAGAAGATTTCTAAAAATAGAAATAAAATAATGAGTTCTTTAAGGAATGGAACAGTTGACTTGTATATCTAAGCAATGTTGGCATTTATATAATCTTGCAGATAATATTATGCCTTTTTTTAACAGCTCAAATAACTTTTACTTAACATGAATGAAGGGATAATTGCTGTTTGGATTGTAATGTTTGCAGACTATTTTGGAGCCTCCTCATCAAAAACAGTGGTTTCATTGTTTTTCTATGTCAAAAGGGTTCAATTCTATGGAGTCATATAAAATAGGATGTACATACTAAACCCATTTAATGAAAAGATAAAAATTTAAAAAAGTTTATGTTTTATGTTCATTAAAACCTCAACTTTAGCCTTTAGACCTAATGATTTATAAATACTTCCAGATTCTATTGTTTGTGCTTCTGTCTGAGGATGTTGGCATTTCTATAAATGTGAGCTTAGATTTGTAAATATACAGCGCTGTCAGTGTTGAATGGGAAAAGAATTAGGGCACCAGGTTCACGCAAATACAGTAAATAGAAGCAGAATTTGAGTTCCCACCCCGATGATCCTGCTTCAGGCTCGAAAACAATGATTCAAAAGATGAAACAAAGACGGCCGAGTACATCCTCACTGCTGGAGCCTTTGTGTGCTCACAGCCACTCATCTGTGAGTGCTCTGCTGGAGCTTTGCTTGAGCACTGTCAACGTCTGCTCGCTGTGATACGGGTATGATTGAGAGCGTGGAGTGTGTGTGTGTGTGAGCCTTGTCTGTGTTCATGTCAGCAACTGCTGCAGGCACTCATGCGTCGCCTCCGCACCACGACACACAGCAGACACTGTTCTCTTGTTCCCCAGATCTTCTCCTGACCTTTCCACCTTCCTCTCCCCCTCCCACACCAACACACACACACACAGCACTCCACTGAATCCATGTTTTTCCCTTCTAGCTGGACAGCTCTCAGTCCCTGCTCTGTCTCTCTCTGCCGTCCTCCTCTGTCCCGCACACCTCTCTTTCTCTCCCTCTCTCTCTGGCTCAGACCCCGAGGCAGCTTGTTAGTGGGGAACTAAATATTGATTTGGCGGGCCTGTCGATGCCGGGAGAATGAGCTAGTGTCCACCAGAGACCTCGGCACCGGCAGCCTGCTATCGACGTTTTCCGTGGGCAGAACAGGGGCGGTGGAGCAGGTGGAGGGGGGGGACTGGAGTTGGTGAGCAGAGTGGAGGAGGAGAAAAGGCGCGTATGACAAGGCTGAGACTTGCCCCCAGGTCCCTGCAGGGACCGCTGGGACCACTGCAGTCATCCCCCTTCACTGAATCAGACTTTTTCTATCCCCTTTCAAGTCCATCTTGTTGAGTTTTTTTGTGTGTATTTATTATTTTTACCTTTATTCGGTCTGTATTTTTGTTTTTTTCTCTCTGTTATTATAATTTCATGTCCTCTGGACTTCACTCTGTCCTTATGCTTTTCCTTCTAATTGGGTTACGTTTTTTTCAGTTAGTAGATCCTTGTTGCCTCATTTCTTCTGTCTGCTGCCATCTGAAAGGACTCTAAGATTTTATTTCCACCAAGCTTTTTTAGTGCTTAATCAGAGGCATTTCTGCAAAACTACCTCTTTAGAACTGACTCAGAGCGATATAATTACCTGGACCAAGAAAAGCAATTTCCCTGATTTCAGTCAGTTTGGAAAAATAAGCTATTTTTGCTAAACCTCTGAATGATATGAGATAAACTTATAGAAATTTTCACTTTATTGCCTGACCTTTATTTATGGTGAATTAGAATTCCTTCTGTTCAATTGCCCACCTGTGGATGTGCTTGAAGGCTGCACCTCTAACACACTCTGTTCTTCTTTGATATAATGGAAAACATCACAGAAAACAGAAAGGGGATCCTAAAAATCTAAAAGTTTGGTTTAACCTTGGACATGATTTCCACATGGCTAAATGTGTCATTTATCTGTTTGAAATGATTTACTCCAAAATCAACAGAAAAAAGTGGATTACGCTTGAAGATGTGGAGATTGATATAACAGACATCTTGTTATTTGGAGATTGAATGGGGATGGATTCTAAGCCTGAGAACACCATCCCAACTATGAAGAACATGGGTGGCAGTGTCATGCTGTGGGCTGCTCTAGCAGTAGGAGGGTCTGGTGCACTTGAAAAAAATAGATGACATCAGAAGGATACATCATTATTTTCCCTGACATGTGAAATTGATGAAGCAGTGTTGGATGTCAGCCAGAAGTGGGGCTTCAAAAAGGACATTCAAACAAAGATACAGTTGCTTTTTGTATCTCTGCTTCTGTCTCCTTGAACCCCAGTCGGCCTCAGCAGATGGCCGCTCACACTGAGCCTGGTTTTACTGGAGGTTTCTTCCTGTTAAAAGGGAGTTTTTCCTCTCCACTGTCGCTACAAGCATGCTTAGTGTGAGGTATTGCATTTTGAGTCAATGAGTCGATGCAATCAACTGGTTTTCCTTAGATAGAAAACTTTGAATCAATTTGACTTAATGGTCTGGTGAACTGTAAAGTGCATTGAGATGACATGTTGTGAATTGGTGCTATAGAAATAAAGTGAATTAAATTGAATTGAACAAATGAGTAACAAAGAGGTAATTTCTAATTTTGATGTTGCTTCCTTATAACAGAACTGAACATTTTTGTCCTGGCGATGCAATGTTCAAACCCATCATAAACCCATAATAAAGCAGAATCCAGCAAACTATAATGGGCGTCTTGGAAGGACAACTAAACCTTTGATGCAAGACATACTACAATATAAAAATATATTTTTTACAAATATTATGGAAAGTTATACAAACATCTTTATTTGGGAAAAAAATTTGTAGGAGCAAAATCTATGTTATCTAAAGATGCTTCATCCACGTTACACAAAACATCATTAATACCACACGTACAAATGCATCCATATTCTTTGTCGACTTAAAAAAAATAAAACTCGAGCAACTACAAGTCACTGAAATAAAACACGGGCGTATTTCTCCTGATGTCCGTTTACCTTGTTTTTCCATGACATCCATGTTACTAGTTTTGCAGTCCCACAGATGAAATTCAAAATAGTTATTTTTTGCACAAAGAGGATCACAAATAAAAACACATTTAGAAAACTACCAAATCCAGCTGATGATCCAAAAGAACAAAAAGGGGGATTGACATTGAACATTCAATAATTACCTGATACAAAGTCTCCTCCTGAAAACAATCTTGATAGAAAGAACTAGTGTCTGGGTTTAGGTGTGGCTGTTACGTGTTTGCAGCTTTTGACCCATGCACTATCCTCCACTGGAGGTCACTCCCAAGAAAGGAAGGGAGGGAGGGGGGGTTTCAACATAAATATCACAACGTTTCAGTTTCTTTTCTCCCCATAATCTAAGGAGCCTAGACGGGAGTAGGGCCCATCAAAGTGTTGGTGCTGAAATGGTTCCAGTTTATGGCACAAAATCCACTGTCTGAGATGAAACACAGACTATTGGTAGCTGCTACTTATGGTTAGCTTAGCACTGAAATAGTTTGTTTTAAAGAAAAGCACATCAAAAGGAAGCCCCTGCAACAGTGCTAGTGATCCT